TCAGCTAGTATGTCTCTCACTCTGATGCGTCTCTCAGCACTTACCCTGTTCACTAGGTCAGGGTTATTAAGCACCGTTCACTAGGTCAGGGTTATTAAGCACCGTTCACTAGGTCAGGGTTATTAAGCACCGTTCACTAGGCCAGGGTTAATTTTGATCCGTTCACTAGGCCAGGGTCTAATTGGTCTTAGTTTTGACAAGCCTAAAAGGTTATTGACTCTTTTGAATGGTGATGATGCTGTTCGTCACTAATGGTAGTTAAGTAGTAGATGCTGGTTAATGGAGAAGACGCCACTACCTATGAGGATAAACTAAAAGTATTTGTTAATATTACAAACTGCTTCTAACATAAAGACATTCTGAAACACCGAAGCTTTAGTCATGCGTAATTATAGGCTGTGTTAAGTTATAATTATGGACAGGAAGCATCTATAATTTTAGCTTGGAGTCAATTCAATGCATAGGCCGCAGTCAGTTAGAATTATAGGAGGCCATAAGCTGTAATTATACACATTAGTTATAGTCTACACGAAAAATTGGGACACATTGGATTAATGTCTTCAGTATATTGGCTAAGTTCTCTCTCTCTCTCTCTCTCTCTCTCTCTCTCTCTCTCTCTCTCTCTCTCTCTCTCTCTCTTTTTATCTATCTACAATATTTCAATCTATCTATCTATCTATCTATCTATCTCTATCTATCTATCTATCTATCTATCTATCTATCTATCTTCTTCTCTTTGTTCTTCCTCTTCATCCTCATCTTCGTAGTGTTCTTCTTTTTCTGATTCGTCTACAGTGCTTCCCTTCCCCCCCTTTCTTCACCTCTACCTTCCCTCCTCCCTCTCCCTCCCACCTTTCTCCCCTCTCCCCCTCCCACCTTACCTCCTCCTACCCACACCCTCCACTCCTTCCGACGTCCCTACCAGCTTCCAAGATTAAGATTATAGTGGAACGATTTCAGATTTATGTAACAAAAATAAGAACGATCCGCAGAAACCTCCAATCCCCCCTCTGTCAGATTTTTTTTCTCAAGACTTTTGCCGATTTTGCTCCCCTTTTATTACCCTCGGGATCATAATGACCAGATTTCAAATATGTTCTTCAGAGTAAAAAAGAAAAATGAGAAAAGGTGGAAAGCCATTGAGTTTTTTTTTGGAAGTTTAACAAATCCTAAAAAAAAAAAAAAGTAAAATCCCTCTACGATAAAGATTTTACTCCCAGCAAGGAAAAGTCCCAGACAGATTACTTACAGGATTTGGCCTATTTAGACCAGGTAGCTCCTCCTCCTCCCCCGTCCCTCCCCCCCCTCCCTCCCCTCCTAGCCATTACTGCTCCCTGAGTCATGGAGGAAAAATTTCAAGTCTGTGTACGAAAATAAAAGAATGATCGAAATGTAGTGAGAATTTTATGTGTGTTTATCGTTTTGTTTCACATCGTTACGGGGATTTTCGTATTGGTGTTGGGTAATCCTATTGAGGTGATTTCTTTGATAATTTTTTGAAGGGGGTTAGGGATTTAGTATGATGGATTTTTTTAATATTATATAAGAATTTTTAGTCAATTTTCTTTTATTTCTATCAATTAAATTTTATAAGTTCCTACAGACAAAGAATTTTCATGATTTTTTTTGTATACATTTTTCTTTAATTCAGGTTTTATAATAAATTCAAAAATGTAAAAAAAGTGACCATGTTTATATTATTGAAAAGAAAGTTCAATTCGCTTTCTCTTTCATCACGACCAATATGACATCCTGACGATTATGACAACATTAAAGGTTTAAATATGTGAGAAAGTGAAGGAGAAATAACAGTAAATAAACTTACTGCCCGCTGCTCGATCCCCAATATGGCGACGTAAACAAAAGATCACATGACTTCAGGTGTTGGAAGCCACTTACAGGAGAACTAAACCTCCTCTTACACAGGTCTCTCTCTCTCTCTCTCTCTCTCTCTCTCTCTCTCTCTCTCTCTCTCTCTCTCTCTCTCTCTCTCTCTCTCTCTCTCTCTCTATCTCTCCTTCTCTCTCCATGTCTCTGTCTCTGTCTCTCTCACTCTCTCTCTCTCTCACATGTTACGTGATCCACCTCCTCCGTCTCACCATGTTACTCTTTCTGTATCGCCTTTCCCTGTAAGTCTCTTCACTCGAGGCGTCTCTCCTTCATACCTCTCATCACTTGTGTCTCTTCCACCTTTATTCACTTCTCTTGTATTTATCTCCTCCGTATCTGTGTTTGTTCCTTGTTTCTCTTCTATTATTTGGTGGTTTTTCCTTTTTTCTCTCATTTGGAATTATTTAATTATTCTTTTCCTTTTTGTCGCTATGTCTTGTTTATGTTTAATTCTTTAATTTATTTTATCTATTTTATGATTTTTCTGTTTTTTTCTTGTTTCTTTTATTGATATAATTTAGTGACGGTGTTTAATTTTTCTGTTTATTCCTCTCATCTTTATTTCTATTCACTGGGTAAAAATAATGTATAATTTCTTCACTTTATTCCTTCTAGTTACAGTTTTCTTTATGGTAAACCGATTATAATTCTATTTCCCTTGAATTTTGTTTATTTCCTTAATTAATTGCCAAAGAAATCCTTCCTAGAAATTCCAACAATGAACATGGCAGGAATTATATTTTTTCATTCGTGTGTAAAGTCTCTATAAATGTTTGTTTATACACAAAATCTAATTAAGGTTGACAAACAAAGAACAGCGGTCCAGAAATTGTAAGTCATTAAAGAAATAGTCGACGTTTGAGCTCGTTAATTCATGAGTGTGATTCTTTTGTCCTGTCAGAGTTGTATTGAGTCATAGTTGTATTAAGTCAGAGTTATATTGAGTCATAGGTGTAGTGAGTCAGAGTTGTAGCGAGTCAGAGTTGTAGTGAGTCAGGTTTGTATTGAGTCAGAGTTATATTGAGTCATAGGTGTAGTGAGTCAGAGTTGTAGCGAGTCAGAGTTGTAGTGAGTCAGGTTTGTATTGAGTCAGAGTTATATTGAGTCATAGGTGTAGTGAGTCAGAGTTATATTGAGTCAACAACCGAAGAAAAATAGAATATTTTTACCATTGAATAAGAAGCGAGTAAATAAATAAATAATAATAGGAAATAAGATAAAAAAATACTGAAAGAAAAGAAAATAATCATGAGACACGAAAGAAAAAAATGAGAGTAGGAAGATTAAATACTGGAGTAGAGAAAACTTAAGAGCAGTTACGGGTATTAATGAGATGCTTTTGAAGTCTTATCCCAGATCCACGCTAAAACTAATTTCCTTAACGAGAGGTAAATCATTCTGTTAGTATGACTATTTGGGGATGACTGCGATGGTGGTGAGACATAGAGCCAGATGGTGGTGAGACATAGAGCCAGGTGGTGGTGAGACATGAGGCCAGGTGGGGTTGGGGGTAAGACATAGGCCAGGTGGTGGTGAGACATAGGCCAGGTGGTGGTGAGACATGAGGCCAGGTGGGGTTGGGGGTAAGACATAGGCCAGGTTGGTGGTGAGACATAGGCCAGGTGGTGGTGAGACATAGGCCAGGTGATGGTGAGACATACAGCCAGATGGTGATGAGACATAGACCTTTTTGTATCATAATTCTCACCCCTTAGCAAAATAATTATAATAGGTTTTTTGTTACTGTATTATAATGAGTCTTATATTAATATATATTCTATTACTTCATTATAATTAAAGTCATCAGCTTATCATGAATACCCTAACCAGTTAACTGTAAAAAACAAAAGCTTATTAAATGACACGTAACTCAAAAAAGCAATATATATATCAAAATATAATAACAGTAACGAGAGCTTATTTCCATATGGTTCATAATATAAGTTAACACAAGCTCTCCCATCAGCTTACATTATATTCTCTGTTAAGAATAAATGAATGTGTGATATTATCTCTCCAGGTTTTCATCGGCTTGAATGTGATGGTAATCCCTGGGTGTGTCATAGCCCCCATGAGACTTGGAAATCCTCCTAATATTAAATCCGGTTTAATTTCCACGAACGCAGAAGAGAGTTGCCGCCGTTCCCTTAACTGGATGTATAAGAACGTATTTAGATTACATTGAAACTCGTCATTAAGTTAATATATTCAATTTTAGGTAAGGGAGAAGGGAGAGGGAGGGAGGGACTTAGGGAGGATGAGGGAAGAGACTGATGATGGTGGGGATGGGAGATAGGAGTGAAAAGGGTAAGGAGAGAGAGGAAGGAAGAGTTAGATAGGATGCAAGGGTGAAGGGAGAATGAGAGAAGTTAAGGAGAGAGAAGTGAAAGGAAGAGAGGGAGAGAGGCAGAGAGACAGACAGAAGCAAGAAGAAAAAGACAGACAGACAGATGGATAAATGAGAAACAGTGAGACAGACAGACATACAGACGAATACAACCAAACCAAATTCATTATTATTCCACTTTAAACTTAGATGACGTCATTTGTCGAATTAAAAAAAACAACAACAACTGCCTCGTTAAAAACAGAATGAGTCATTAGTCAACTGTTGTTACGATGTTTCCCAATATTTGTAACTCTCAACAACACAAACACACACGTCCTTTTAGCCAATCAGTATCGCGGCTTTTATCCCCCTGGAAATCTGAAAGATGTGATTGGTTGAGAGAGATACATTGTTTGTCCCTTTTTCTTTTCATTTTCTTTTCTACACATGTTAAAGAACTCTCGTTAAATCCCAGCTTTTAGGTTTTGTTATAAAGTTCCTGTTCATTAACCTGTTGCCAGAATAGCATCAGACTTTGCTCTATATATTTTTATCACTGTAAATGACAGGTACATTTCGTAATATTGTCATTAATTACAGGTGAACAATACAGCCGTTGCCAGGAAGCTTTTTTGCTGGTTAAGTAAAGGGACGACTGTATTTTACAGTCTGGGGAAATTGGTATTGATTATCCGTGCATGTGTGCGTTTCTTTCCCTGTGTTAATTGACAATGTGGACACAGCACGATGTACACTAAGCCTTTCCGTACCCATTTAACAGCTGCGTGAAAGGGATCGAACCAGAGGACTCTTAGGACGGGAGGAGAGTACTCTATCCACTCGGCCACTGCACCCCTATTGGTCAGTATTGTGTCGTATTTATGTGTATGTGTGTGAATTCTATGTATTACAGGAATAATACATGTTCTCCTTATGTTGTGTTTGTCGTTTCTGTAATATGTATATAAATAGGTACAGCTGTCAGGTTACTTGGCTGTTATATTTATATCCATGGTGAGAGAAAGTTTCCAAAGTTTATTTTTTTTTAAGGTTTATATATTTTGTTGTCATGTATATTTATGTAGAATATTGTATTATTTTGTTTATGGTATTTTTCCTGTATTTTGTCTACAGTGATGGAGCTGTAGTCGTATTTTCCTGTAATGTATAGACGTTTAGGATGTTTTGTTGCTGTAATCTGTACGACCTTAAGAGATAAACCAATAGCAAAGAAACAAACATATAACATAAACAAGAAAAAACTATACAAAATAAATAAGAAGTTAAACAAGAGATAAACACAAAACAAACAAACAAACAAAATAAACAACTACACATAACATCTGGAGGAATAATTAATCTTTACCACCTCTTCCCCCTTGACAATAATATGCAAATTAAGACACATTTTCCTGTGGTTTTCCCCCTAAAATGTTGTTCTAGCTGTGTAAGACCTAGCGTGTGGCCCTGTTCTCTCCCTACCACAGTATATGTAAATTTTCATTGTGCTTGTTTGGTTCATATTTTTTTTAGCAGTCGTCTTTCGGACATTCTACTATTGTTGTTTTATGGATGTTACTTTGATGGTTGTGTGTGTGTGTGTGTGTGTGTGTGTGTGTGTGTGTGTGTGTGTGTCATGGGAGGTACAGGTAAGAGATAAAAAAAATATTCATAAACAAATTCAGGTAAAAATCCAGGTATTGTTGTCATGGAATGTTGCTAAAAATTGTGTAGGAAGGATAAGGGGTATTTTTACTATTGTCTCTGAGCAGCTTAGGACAAGATCTGTACCTAGTGCTGGGGTTAGGATACTAATTATAAGTAGGAGTAGTATAAGTAGTAGTAGTAGTAGTAGTAGTTAGGATATTTAATATTAAGGTAAATAAATGGTGGCGAAGGTGTGGCTATTGGGGAGGCTGGAGCCACGTTCAAAAAAAAAAAAAAAAAAAAAAAAAAGTAGTAGTAGTAGTAGTAGTAGCAGTAATAGTGGTGGTGTGGTGTGACTTGTGGTGTAGCTCGAACCGTGTGTGACCAAGACGGGACTGCAGCGGTACCCTCCCAGAGGAGTTTGCCCAGGTCCAAGTCGAGTGCCTGGCGGCGCGTGTGTGTGTGTGTGTGTGTGTGTGTGTGTGTGTGTCGTAATCCTCTTTTCATTCAGTACAGGAACAAAATACAAACAACTTACATAAAATACAGGAAAATAACACACGTGGCTATTTTATATATTGAAAAAATAATAATCACTCATCTCCAGACAGTCATAAGGAGAAATACAAGTAAGAATCAATACTAAATTCACCTACAATAAAATACACTCCCACCTAACCTATACAAAACCTCACTGACAATGACTGTATTGTTTCTCTGTAATTAGGGAAAGTTTTTAAGTAGTATATCTCTCAATTACACCCCCCCAAAAAATATATATATTTGTTTGTCAATCCCGGTATTTTGTTCTTTTAAATGACTGATTTGTACCGGCTTCATTATAAAGTCCGGTCGTAAAAAAAAAAAAACCATGATTTTTTTTTAACTGGAATGAATGGAAGGACACAACCAATGAAATCTCTTATATATTTGAATGGGAATAAAAACTACAGTATTGATTGGCTTATAGATCTGTGTTTATGTTGCTCGTCATAACAGAGTGCACCGTCATAACAGCAGTTGCCTATTGGTTTATTTGGATACTAACGAGCCAGACGCTGTTAGTATATCACGTGACGTAACATCAGGTAAATATTGATGAAAGCGTCTCACTGTCATAAACACATTCATATATATATATATTATACCTGTAATATTATAGTGAAACCAGATTTAATTTATTTCATTAATATAGACGAATAACATAAACATCAAAACCAGATTAATGTGATTTATTAATGTAATTTTTTATATAGACGAGTAATATATAGAACAAAACTGTATTGACTGTAGTGGGATTCAGGTTATTGCTAGACTTGATAGACCACTCACCTCTCTACACACAGATGGTAATTCCCTGTCAGAGGATGTGGGTTCAGAAGGTTGAGTCATTCATACAAACGGGTACACACTGTAAATTGATTTCCAGTGACCGTTAGTGAACTCTGTGTATGTGTGTGTGTGTGTGTGTGTGTGTGTGTGTGTGTGTGTGATCTCTCTCTCTCTCTCTCTCTCTCTCTCTCACTACATACATACGGGGGAAAGAGTTTTGTTTTTTACTCTATTTTTCAGTTTAATTTCTGTTTTTGTGTGTTTTCTCTACGTATGTGTAAAACTTTTACTACATTTTGGGTTAGATTTTTTTTTCAACTTATTTTTGCGTATATTTGATTTTTGTTTTCTATTTTTTAGTTTTGTTTGTTTTGCTTTTCTCAGGGATTTTTGGGAATATTTGTGTTTTATTATTAATTTTTGTATTTCTTTGTTTTACATTTTACATTTTTCTTCGTTTTTTTTTTCTGTTTTAGTGTTTCAATCTCCGCTCATTTTCCCTAACAGTTTGTAAGTCTTTGTCTGTATTTTCCTATTTATGTTTTATCACGTCTTATTCCTTTGTGTTTATCAGTTGTTGTTTTGCGCAAAGTAGTTAATCTTATGTATTTATAAAACGCGAATATTACTTAACCATTTTGAGTTGCTGTATGTCTGTATTATGTGAGCGCATGTGTGTATATGTGTACTGTGTAAGTATGTGTGTTAGACAGTGTATTTGTATTATGTTACTATGTGTATTTTTGTCTAACTTCATTATGTATGTGGTAAGTGTATGTCTAGGTGTGTGTATGTATATATACTCTCATTTGTGTGTGTGTATGTATGTGTGTGTGTGTGTGTGTGTGTGTGTGTGTGTGTGTGTGTGTAGGTGGTACCAATATCCACGTAATGTGTAAATGTGGATCTTTATATGAGTAAGTATGCATTCGTGTGTTAATTTACAGTATGCAGTGTATACGTGAGTGTATTAAATTTGGTGGGTAGCTGAGGGGCAGGGGGGGTGTGTGTGAGGGTCTATGAAGGGTGTAGGGGGATGAAGTAGACTGAGGTAGACTGAGGTAGATTGATTGCTGGCCTGGAAACGAGACAGTGAAAATGTGATAAAAATAACGTTAAAATAACCAACTAAACAGGTTAATAAATAAATAAATAAATAAATAAATAAATAAGAAAATATTATCTTTATCATGTTCTCATCACAGTGTATTTTGTTAACATGTTAGTTATTTTTATTGCTATTTATAAGTCTCAAATGATATCAACAGTTAACAAAATCCAATAAATAATTGTTTATAGACCAAAAATGCACCATACACAAAATATGATATAAATTGTCACACGTATTTATTACGGTGAAAATATAATTCATTGATAGAAAAAAAAAATGAAATAAAATGTTTTATAGTATTCAGTGACAATACTATTACACGCAGAAATAAATTGTCCAGGTTTCAGATTCCACACTCAATGTATTTTACTTTAATTTAATCTATAATGTTTATTTGTGTGTGAATTTATAGCCAAAAAAAATCTCATTGTTTTCTCAGGTATTGTGTTGCGATATTGTTATGTGAGTCAGTTTTATATAGGAATTATCTGTGTTTTGGTGTTATTTTCGTGTGGTGTGTATTAAGGACACACACACACACATACACACACACACATACACACACACACACACACACACACACACACACACACACACACACACACACACACACACATTCAGTAGTTTTCTTTTTCAGGTCAAACTAAAGTGCTTATTTTTCGTGTTCTATGTTATTTATGTATTGAGGGTAATGGAATACTTATATCTGACGCTTTGGAACTGGGAGAGTTACTATGTAGGATTTGTGTGTGTGTGTGTGTGTGTGTGTGTGTGTGTGTGTGTGTGTGTGTGTGGTCTCAGTACTATACGTCCTCATAAAACAGAAGACAACGATCGTAATGTGACCTTAGAAAATGTTTTTACAATATTGTCTTCAGTCACCAACAAAAGTTCCGGTGTCTCTTACCAGTGGCTCCTGACCAAACCTAACCTAACCTAACCTGAGAAAAGGGTCTATTGGGTGTAGGTTAGGGCATGATTGTGCACCTGTAGTATTGCTAAGCTTGTTGTTGTTGTTATGGTGTTATCTGGGGATGATTGGTTGTTTTTGTTGGGGGGACAGTGATTGTAATCTATCTGTCTATCTGTCTAATTCTTTTTTTACTCACTCTCTCTACTTTACTCTTCCTTTTTTTCCCAGTTATTATCATTCTCCCTATCTTTCTATTTTTATTTTCCTCTCTATATTTCTCTTTTCCTCTCCTTTCTCCTAATTTCTTTCTCTCTCTTTATCTCTTTATCTCTCTCTCTCTGTCTCTCTTTTTGTCTCCTTATCGTTTATTTCCCCCCCAACACACTGCACCTTCCTCCTCGTCTGGATGCAATGACGTCATGACTGTGGAACGAGGGGTCAAATTACAAGGCATTTTTTTTGTCTATATTTTCCGGAAATTCACTTTATGCTCACAGCCTTAAAACGTGATCTTCCATAATCGAGAATTTTAGTTGATTTTTTAATAAGAGACCTGACGTATTGTAATGTTTTTTGTTGTTATTGTTGTTTTTGTAATTATGAACTTAACTGGTGTATTGTAATTTTGTTCTTGTTTTAGTTGTATGTATATTAACTACTGTACTAGGGATATAAAGCACTGTTCACTAATTCGTAGTTGTTAGTTGTTGTGTGTGTGTGTGTGCTTCAGCTAACAGGATTTATATATCTCTTATTTTACACCGTCTTAATATTTTACATGCTACAACTATCAAGGTCATTAAATACAGTCTAGTGCGTCTTAGTATCTTACAAAAGACAATTATTAAATACTCAGAA